TACGTGAACGCGCAGCCGGACCGGCTTGTAAACAATGGGCTGGAGATCAGCACAGAGAGAGGGTGTGTGAGGTCATGCTATACTCCAGATGAAATTACACCTCTAGTTCTTCACATAGCAATTTTTTAATTCCTTCAATCTAGAAATGATGAATTTCGCTTATTGCTCCTTTAAAGATGACAATGTATATCGATGTTTTCACTTTGCATCAATGAAATTGGATTGTTGATGGACCGTTGCACCCCTAGTACATACCCTTGATATAGACAATAAAAACGTGTTCTGTAAAATGTGCATAACCTTTTTTTTTTTTTTTTGCTTAGTGTACACATATAAATATGCTGGAAGAATAGCTTTGTAAACAAGAGAATGCCAATGAAAAAGTCTACAAAATTTTAAATTGGGGCCACCCAACCTGAGCATACAAGAGACAGAAATGAGTTTGGGGCTTTCAGCTGGTAATAAATCTCAGTGCACCGTGATACACAGAGTCCAGAGCATGCAAACACTGAAAGGGTGCATTCATATACAAAAGTAGTAGTAGTAGTAGTAGTAGTAGTAGTACTACTCAATGATAGAAAAGGGGTCCCTTAAAGAGTCAACAGATAGCATATTTTCCTGAATATATCATTATGAAAATAATGTGGGTTGCACAGGGTAGTGGCCACAGTAAAATCAGACTATCATAGGTTTACATAGGTTAGTTAGTTGTTGTGCAATAAGCTTCTGCCACTGGTGCCGAAATTTCGCGGAAAAAATCTGCTTTACGGCAGGAAACGTGTCATGTATTGCGAAATTGGTTGGTCAGCCAATCAGGGACGGGAGCGGGTCCTTATGAGGAGTTGGGCATGAGATAGTTGAGTCACAAGCACAATGGCAAACGGACAAAGTTTAGAAACAAGTGAAAAACGGCCTGGCAAAAGAAAACGAGCTCCTCTGTCTGAGGAGGCAAAGAAGAGCAAAACTTTGTTTCCCATTCAATTTCAGCTCCAACCAGCCGCATCGTTTCCATACGGTACCGTTTATTCGGGACTGTTTACATGTGCATATTGGTATAATTCCACTATCTACTGTTGTTTGTACTGATACTGTATATATTGGTATAATTTACTGCGAGTTGTTTGTACTGGTACTGTGCATTCTGGTATAATTATTTGCATTACTATTTGTTTTTTTTCTTCAGATAAATCAGATAATTGTTGCTCGGTCTCTTTACTCATTTATTTAGTAGAGTGTCCACACACCTGCACATTCTACATACACACAGAGGTATACTGGTGGCTTTACAGCCTACATTTGATTGATTATCTCTGATCCCCACGGTTAATTCTGTCTTTGCGACAGTGCAATGCAACACCACTGACGCTAGGTGGCGCCAAGCTAAAAAAAAAAAACCCCGAATCCTATCTGTTGGCTCTTTTTTTTTCCTGGCGGGGGAGGGGGCATTTTTAGTCTTTAATGGATAGGACAGACAAGGGTGAAGGAGGGAGAGAGAGAGGGAGTGACATGAAGCAAGGGGCCACAGGCTGGAGTCGAACCCGGGCCGCTGCGGCAGCAGCCTTGTACATGGGGCGCCTGCTCTACCACTAAGCCACCGACGTCCCCTATCTGT